TGCAGGGTGTTCCGGGGGAACCTGGCTCCGGCATCCGGGTGAGCACTCATGCCCTCCCTGTCAGCACCCACCTGCCCCCCAAAAAAAATCTGGCCCCCCAAAGCCAGCCAGCCCTGCCACCATGCCCCTTCCCGCAGGGGCAGCTGAGGTCCTGGCTGTGCCAGGACAGCGTGCCATCCGCTCTCTAATGCCGCTGTTTCCCTTGCAGGGCTTGCCTGGTCCCCAGGGCAGCATGGGGCTGCCTGGTCCCCCTGGCCCCCCTGGACCGGGGGTAGGTATTTGCAGTCCCCCCTGACCTGGCCCTTGGTGGTTCCTGGTGCCTGGGCTGCTGCTTGATTTCTGCTCGTGTCTCCCTTGCAGGGCCCACCGGGTGTCCCTGGGCTGCCAGGACAAGTGGTGAGTGTGTTATCCCCCCTGCCCCGCTGCCATCAGTGTGGGCACTCAGGGATGCTTGGGGTGCTGCGGGACCCCTGCGCCCCAGCCCCGCTCTTACCACCCGCAGGGGGAGAGCGGGAAGCCAGGCGTGCCAGGCAGGGACGGCGTGCCGGGGAAGGATGGCGAGACGGGTATCCCTGGGAAGATGGTACTGCTCACCCCATCCTGTCCCAGCGGGAGACCCCAGGGGGCTCAGCCTGGGCTGTCTGCAGCTGAGGCTGAGGGCTGTGCTGCTTGTGCCAGGGCATGCCAGGACCTTCAGGCCCTGCCGGTCCCAAGGGAGAGCCAGGGGATGCCGGAGCCCCAGGGCAGGTGAGTGCAGAGCTGCCTCCACAGCGGGAGCTCCCCTGGTGTTCCTGGGCCAGGACGAGGGGGAGCATCCCTGTGCAGCCCTGCTCACCTGCCCCTTCTCCTCCGCACCCCAGGCCATCGCCGGCCCTCCTGGCGCCAAAGGCGAGAAGGTAAGGAGTCAGGCTGTGAGGTGGGGGGCCCCCCACCCCTCGGTGCTGCCAAAGCCACCAGGGCTGGGGCAGGCAGGGGTCTGCAGGGTGCTGGCACCCACTGCGGGCACGCCTGAGCACCCGTGTGTTGCTGCAGGGCGAGCCGGCACTGCTGAAGGGCATGCTGCTGGGAGGACCCGTAAGTTGGCCCTGTTAACCTTGTCCTCTCTATTAACCTCATCCCCTCCATTAACCTTATCCCTCCTCCCCCCAACCCTGCCTTCTGGGGGGCTAGCGAGCTCTGTGGCCAACCCCCTCCCCTAATGCCGCTCTCCCCCCAGCAGGGCTCCAAGGGTGACCGAGGCTTGCCAGGTCCCAAGGGCGAGAAGGTGAGTGCTGCCCCAGGGGCAGCAGTGAGGGGGCCATGGGGGCTCTGGGCTCCCTAGCTGCCTGGCCACAGTGCGGGGGGGAGGTCTGGCTGCAGCTGCTCCCCCTGTGCTTCATCACACACCCTTGCTTTTTGCTTGTTTCCCCCTGCCAGGGGGAGCCAGGAGGATTCGGGGAGCCAGGAGATCCTGGGGAAGATGTGAGTAGGAGGCACATAAGGGGCTGGGGGGTGGATGCTGGGGGCAGCGGATGCTGTTGGGGGGTGAGACTTGTGCCCTTGTCGCCTACTGCCCAGCCCTTCCTGGTGGCTTGGTGTCTTCACAGGGAGCCAAGGGGTCCTCCGGAGCCAAAGGGGAGAAGGTATGTGTCTTCTGCTCCAAGGGGTACTCCCCAGCCTGGGGGGCTGCTCCAGGTGGCAGGTGCCCCTGGCACCCCTGTGTCCACCAGCCAGGGGACGTGCCACATACTCTCTGCCACCATGCAGGGATCGCCAGGTGTTGGTGTGCGGGGGCCACCAGGACAGGACGGACCTCCGGGTTTGAAGGTAACTCCTATCCTCATTTCACCCTGGCTCTCACCACATCCCCAATGCCCAGGTGCTGCCTGGCTTGGCTGGCCAAGGGAGAAGCATGCTCCTGAGGGGCTGTTTTCATGGGCCCCGTCTTTTTCCTCCCTGCTCCAGGGTGACATCGGATTGCCGGGACTCCCAGGACCCCCAGGCTTAGCAGGCATTGCTGGGACGCCAGGACAGCCAGGCCTGAGAGGGGACAATGGGCAGCCTGGCCCGCCTGGTCCTCCAGGAGAAAGGGTAAAGGCTATGGCCAGCACCTGGTCTCACTGGTCCTGGTGACCCTGGGCCATTGAGCAGTGTCAGTGAGGTCCCTGTTGGCCCCATTGCCTCCCAGCCACAGTCCCTGCCTGCTCACCGGTGTTTCCCTGCCAGGGTTTGATCGGCTTTCCTGGGAGAGATGGTGCCTCTGGACCACCAGGACCTGTGGGACCCCCAGGGCCAGCCGTGAGTATGGGGCTCCAGTGCCACAGCATTCCTGGGGGTGCAGGCTCTGCCTCAGCTCCTCCACTGGCTTGGGCAGGGTGATGGGCACCCACCCTGCACCTTCCTGTCCCTGGGGCTGGGGGTTGCCAGGGGCTCTGGTGCAGGGACAGGAGCTGCTGTGGAAGCCCCAGGGATGCTTCACAGGGTGCCTGGCATCGCCTTCAACCTGTGGCTCACTCAGCCCTCTCCTTTCTTTTAGGGCATACATGGGGCCTCTGGCCTGAAGGGTGACAAGGTAGGATGGAGGGCAGTCCTATAACACAAGGGGTGGGGGCTGCTCCTCATGTGGGGTGTCCCTGCTGCAGCCACCCCCTGGGGGATGCTTAGCCCACTCTAGATGGTGGCACCTGGGAGCCTGCTTTGTGCCAGGCACCTGGGGAGGTGGCAGGGACTGTGGGGTGTCCCCTAGCATGGCAGTGGACATGGCGTGGCTGTGAGGAGCGGGGGACATGGCATGGCTGGGCAGAGTGGTGGACATGGCATGGCTGGGCAGAGTGGTGGACAGCAAGGACTGAGATGAGCTCTCGCCTTCCCCCTGGCAGGGTGCGCCTGGGGCTGGGCTGCCGGGAGCCAGAGGCGAGCGCGGAGACCCAGGGCCACGGGTAGGTACTGTGTCCCCACCGCCAGGGATGGGGAGTCCCACGGTGCCAGCCCTGAAGGGACGGTGAGCCAGAGCTGCGCCTGTCCCTGGGGTGATGTGATGCTGGGGGTGCCCCCATTCCAGATCCCCTTCTCATATCTCTTTCTTCTTGCAGGGTGAAGACGGGCGCCCAGGGCCAGAAGGGGATCGCGGGCCGGCGGTAAATACCCCCCTCCCTGGCTGCACCCCCATCTTCTGGGCCCCTCCCTGATCACCCCTCTTCTCTCTCCCACAGGGCTTGCCCGGGAACCGGGGGGAGCGTGGGGACAAGGTAAGGGACTCTGGGGACTGGGGAGCTGAGCTGTGGGGCAAGAATCATGCAGCCCCAGGGACTGGAGTCCCCAGGGAGGTGCTGCCCACCATCCACTGTGCATCCTTGCAACATCTCACCATCTCCCCTTCCTTGCAGGGAGACCTTGGGGCCCCGGGGCCCAAAGGAGACAAGGTGAGTCCCTGGGGGCAGGGGGCAGCGGGAGGGAGGGCAGCAGTGCCGTCCCCCCCGCTCACCTCCGCCTCTCTTGTTTGGGTGCGCAGGGCGACACTGTGGTGGTGGAGGGGCCCGTCGGAGCACGGGGCAGCAAGGGGGAGCCGGTAAGAGCTGTCCCCATCCTCCCTGTCTGCCTCAGCATTGTCCCTCCTGTCCTGATGGGCAGCTCCTGGCACAGGGCAGCTCCCAGCCTCATGGGTTCAATCCTGCACCCCCTCTCCTGAGTGGCACAGGGCAGCCCCCCCCACTTCTGCCTGCCAGAAGAGCTGGGGGCCTTCTTGCTGCCGAGGGACCCTCCCTTGCAGAGCACGTTGTCCCCTCTCCTTCAGCCACCCTCTGGATCCCCATGTCCCTGCCCTGGAGATCTGTCCTCCCCACCCCCCAACCTCTCCCTGTGTTTCCCCTTTTGCAGGGAGAGCGTGGCCTGAAGGGCACGGAAGGGGACAAGGGGGACAAGGGGGAGCAAGGCATGCCTGGAGAGAAGGTATAGGGCTGGGGGTATTGTGTGGGGCTGGGGGCTGCTGGGTTGGGGACCATGGAGTGCTATTGACAGGGCAATGGACAGAGGGACCAGGGCATGATGACATCCCTGTGCCCCATGTGCTGGTGCTTGTGGGTACCCTGGCATGGTGCTTGGCACCCCAGCAAGGGAGCTGCCAGAGCCGGCCTCAGAGGTCACCCATGCCTCTGCTGCGGCCATGCCGTGGCCAGAGCTCTCCCTCCTGCCCTATGTTGATCTGAATTTCTGCTTGCAGGGGGCCAGGGGCGAGCAAGGCGAGAAGGGCTCCATGGGCTTCCCCGGGGCACGCGGCCCCGGCGGGCAGAAGGTAAGGAGCTGGGCAGCCCCCACTGCTAGGGTTGGTGGGGGGGTGCTGGGGGCACCATCCCCCTCACCTGCCCTGACTGATGCCTTTGCTTTCCCCAGGGGGAGGTGGGAGCATCAGGAGAGCCTGGCGAGCCGGTGAGAAGCTGCGTCTCGGTGCTGCTGCCGCCCCGCTAAGGGGCAGGAGCAGACCCCAGTCACGCTGTGTGCTCTCCTGCAGGGCCAGCCCGGCCGTGATGGGATCCCTGGAGCCCGGGGAGAGAAGGGGGACATGGGACCCCTGGGCATGCGTGGCCCCAAGGTGGGTTGGCCCCTCCGCTTGCTGGTGCTCTCCTGGCCAGAACCCGCGCTAGCTTGGCGTGGCTCTGACTCCCCTCCTCATCCTCACAGGGTGACCGGGGCATGAAAGGTGCCTGTGGCATCGATGGGGACAAGGGCGAGAAGGTGAGTGGGTGCCCGCGGGGTGCCACAGGAGCCTGGATGTTGCCTGGAGGCTGCGGCCCTTTGGATCCCCTCCACCAGCTGGGGGGGAGCAGGGAGACGGCTGAGGCCGGAGCTTGGCCCCGTGGCAGGGGCACGGGGTCCCCTCCTCTGCCTGCAGCTCTGGGGTGAGCACTGAGGGGCACAGGACTGACCGCCCTGCCTCTCTCCTGCCCGCTGTAGGGAGAGCCAGGGATCTCGGGGCGCTCGGGGCTGCCGGGGAGGAAAGGCGAGCCGGTAAGCATCATGCTGACACCGGGGTGGGATGGGAACACAGGGTTGGTGGCTGACGGGCACCTGCTTTGTCCCCCAGGGAGAGCTGGGTCTGTCAGGACCACCGGGCATCCCCGGGAAGGAGGGGCTCATGGGACCCAAGGTAGGTCAGGGCAGTGCTGGGAAAAGCTGTGCTGGCGCTTCAGCTGCCTGTCCCCGGCTGCTTGTCCCCCACTGCCTGCCCCTTCCTCCTTACAGGGCGACCGGGGATTCGATGGGCAGCAGGGAGCCAAAGGAGACCAGGGGGAAAAAGGAGACCGGGTGAGTGGGCTGGAAAGGGACGGTATGCATTGGACCACATTGCTTCTGCCAGAATCCAGCCTTGGTCAGAAGCACATCAGAGCCTGATGCTCCCAGAAGAGCTGTCCGGTGCTGCTCTAAATTATGTCACTAAACTATAAGTGACAACATATCCCCACTCTTTACAGAAGGTGACAGTGCTTTGGGGATGCCCAGCTGTGGGGTCGGAGGATGCCCACGGTGCCTGCTCTGGGGCTGGGGGGCACCAACACCCCTGACCTCACCCTCTGCTCTCCCACAGGGTGCCCCGGGCATTATTGGTGGCCCCGGTCCCCGGGGTAGTGACGGTGCTCCTGGTCCCCCTGGTCCTCCAGGGAGCGTTGGACCACGAGGTCCCGAAGGCATGCAGGGCCAGAAGGTGAGTCCCCACCACGGGTGGCCAGTCTCCCTCCAGGTGCCATAAGGAGGGGAGGGCTCTGTCCCCGGAGCGGGCAAAGGGTTGGTGGCATAAGGAGCCATGTCTGTGCCCTGCCAGCTCACTGGCTTTGGGGTCCTCCCTTGTTCCTCCTGTCCAGGGGATGGGAGCCTGGGGGGTCGTGATCCTGTTTATCTTGGGTCTGGTCTGGACCCATCCCCATCCCCATCCCCATCCCCATCCCCATCCCCACCTGCATGGGCATGCCTGGGGTGTGGGGACAGGGAAAGCAGCACATCCATGGCACTGGGTGGGTGAGCGGGTGCCTGGCCCTGCCTGGGTGAGCCCCAGCTGGGGCCAGCCTCCCACCCCTCTTCTGCTTGTCCCTAGGGCAGTCCTGGCACCCAGGGGCTCCGTGGGGAGAAGGGGGATCCGGGCATGACGGTAAGGAGCCAGGAGGGACCTGGCACAGGCTCACGGTGCTCGGGTCACCGGGGTGGGAAGGGTGCTAGATCCGTCCCACTGTCATTGATGGAGGGGCTTCTCCCTCCTCTGGGCTCTGCTGTGGCCTGAGGAAAGGGTTTTTCGTCCTCTCTAATTGCACCATCTTCCATCACAACGTGGATCCTTTCCCCCTCCATGTGCCCGGCAGGAGGAGGAGATCCGTGCCTTTGTCAGGCAGGAGATGAACCAGCACTGTGGTGAGCATCCCCCACCGCTGCCCCAGGGCCAGGGGTCTGGGCACCCCTGCCCCTGACCCCCTGCTGCCCCCCGCCCCCCGCCGCCCCCGACCCCCCCCC